AAAACTAAACATCTTAATTATGAATTTTTTTTTCCCTTAATTCAAACACAAATAAAATTCTCAAATGACATAATCACGATCTCTCGAAGTTGAAGATTTAATCCACGTATACCATAACCACAAAACTATAAATTAACGATAAGAAATGATAAGAAATACCCAATCAACTCCGAAATAAATAGCATTAACGAGGTTTTACATAAATCAACTCATCTTCCTGCTATCGCAGTTTATACCTAAACACAGCATTTTGCCTTGTTTCAGACATCCAGAGCATTGTGCCCGGCAACAGAAACATCTTAAATTGGAATATGCAATATCATAGTATGATCCAAAAAAGTTAATAATCTTGAAAATACCAGTCAAAACTTACAATGTTTTCTCTTTACGGGTTATCTAAAGCATTAATTTGTTTCCATATGTTCGGGGAAACCTAACTACAAAGAAACAAGCAAGGACTATAAAGGAGTGTATCAAAATCAGTAACAAAAAGCTTAAATATGTTATATCATGACTGCTCATGCCATTCAAGAATCAATTGATTCTCCGGTGGCTTTATGATCTCAAGAAAAATCAGGCTCGTCTGGTTTAAAAATCTGGGGCATTCGTAAGCTAGAATCACTAGGCTCGACAAATGTGACCTTTTGAGCAGCCCCTCTTCTGGTATTTGCAGCAAATTTTGACGCCAGTATGGTAGCTCCAAGTTGCTGTGCATTTTCAGAACCCTTATTTTCTTGTTTATCAGCATACTCGTCCTCGTCCTCTGGCCATTGCATGTAATACAAGCTCTCCTGTCTTGCTAATTCATCTGCAAGCTTTCTCCTTTTCAAACGTCTCCATGCGGCTTGTATATAGCAAGCACCCCACGTCCTCCACTGGTGAGAATAATAGCGAAAAGCGTGTTGTAGTTTCTTGCTATGTAGACGTTTAAATTGATTTGCAACGAATTTTAGGTCCTCAGAGCGAAGTGCAAAGGCCTCAACTTCAGTAATTGATTTAACTGTCCGAGTAGAAGCTGGAAGATTGACGTTCGAAGCAGGCATTAAGGCCCATGTTAGCAATTCTTCACCACAAAAATCCCCTGGTTTAAGAGTAATGGAATTGAAGAATCCAGACCGTCCACCATTAGTTGTTGAGCTTTCAAGTTGGCCTCTAATTATGAAAAGCATCTCGTTTACTGGATCACCTTCACGGACAATGTATGTATCTTTGGTGTTCAAAGATGAAACAAGGCGTTCACATATTGCATCCAGGAGTTGGTCATCCATTTGTGAAAAGAAAGGAACCTGGAAACAAAATAAAATGCATCAGCAATAAAATAAAGAAGAAATAAAGATAGTACAAGATAAAGACAGAAATTGAGATTTAATTATCATTTGATTCTCTAGTAATAGGGTGGTCCAGGAGCCTCTAGTTCAAGCTTCTAACTTAACATTATCACCAAATTTATATTTTTTTTTTCAGTAACTTCTACCATAAAGGAAGATAGTAAATTTTACTTAAAATTATAAAATTAGAAAGTATGATATATTTTTACACAAACATAAAAAATTAGCATAATTGAAATTTGAGAAATGAGCACTACGAACAGATGCACATTGTTTCAGACTACTACTCTTTCTCAGTGCATAATGGTGTATTCCTAAATTACTTAGCCCGCAAATAGGAGATGATAAGAAAATGAACTCACCCGACGAACTAGGGCTAGACAAAGATGACTCTGAATTTGGCGTCGCAGATCTAATGGCAAAGATTGCAAAATATCTTCTTCCTCTACTCCTTTTGTAGCAAGCCATTTATATTGAACAAATCGACGAATACGATCCTGCAGATCTGGAGGTAGTTGGCGGTGCCTCATCCATTCCTCAGTATCTCGTCGTCTAACCCTCCATTCTTCTAGTCGTGCTGACATAGATTGCAGATAGGTCTTCAAATATGAAGCAATATATAAAAGTCAGAGATATAACACCATTGTCAATCACACAGTATCACAGAAACTTGTTCTTTTTCTTGTTTTGTAGAAATCAATACAGTCGAATACATCTTCATTTGAGAAAGATTTGTCCCTATTATTAGCAAATAAGGATATGGATTGAATCAATTCCTATTTAGCTAATCCATAAAATTCAAGAGAGCACTAAAAGCTGAGGAATTGACATTAATAAAGAACTTGTATCATAATGAAGAGCTTGATTCCAGCTCGACTGCAGTCCATTATTGTAGGAATTTCTTGATGATAGGAAATATGTAGATGGTAAAATACACCACATTTTACATTTAAATGAAATACTAAATAGCAGGAGAGAATACCATCCAGAGAACAGTGCATGAGGAAAAATCATTCTTAATCAGTATACTTTGCCAGACTTTTGTGTAAGATAATGACATATGACTTGCGAAAAATAGAATAGACATTAGAGAAGCTCGGAAAACTAGTATGTATATATGTTTGTTTGTACTATAATACAAGGACATTATGACGATATCATAACTGTAAATTAAGGAGGGAGAGGCAATACCTGCATGTTTCCTATCAGGAGCGAAAAGAAAACTAAACCCATAAGACAAATTAGACTGCTGAAGATTGTTTCAATTACATAAGTTGTTGTATTCAAACTTTGTCCGTATGAGCTGCAACAGAGAGATTGAATATGCATGGTGTAAGCATAAATGGAGGAGGATTTTAAGTCTTCACAAGAAAATATGGGAAGCAGATGTGCATATTTATTCATCCCAGCTGAAATTTGTAACTGAGAACTCAAGTCGAGAGTAAGGAAGCAAGCTGCCAGCAAGATGACTAAGTGCATGTTTGGCTAAGCTTAAAATATTTACTTACAAGTAAATAATTTATGAAATAAGTAACTTGTTTTACTTATCACAAAAACTAACCCATACAAACATGTTTGGAAGCAAAAAATTACTTATTATTATGTTTAAGCAAATTTTAATCTTAGCCAAAAATGCTGTAAGAAGTCTGCAATCACTATTTCTTTGGAAAAAACACCTAACTTTTGGCAAAGAAATATATACAAATACATTGTCATATTATACCATACATATATCAATATTAGAATAACTACACAAATATAATGCTTAATTGCATCGAGGATTTGTAGGACGAGCTGGCCGGGTTCACTAGATTTTCTGAAATAGACACTCGTAGAGGATACCATCAAATTAGTATCAGACCTGGAGGTGATTGGAAACTTCCTTTAATACTCATGATGGCTTATATGAGTGGTTAGTTATTCCTTTCAGATACCTAATGCTCCTAGTACTTTTGAGGAGGATCGTGATTGATGTCTTGTGCCATTTTATTGGGAAATTTTTGTTGTGTATTTCAATGACATTCTCATTTAATGTCGGTCTCAGAGAGCAAATATAGATCATCTTAGGCAAGTCTTTCATAATCTTTGGGCTGAAAATTTATATGCCAATGACAGGAAATGTGCATGGGCAACAGGTCCTATTCTTAGGGTACATAGAATCTACTGAATGCAATTCTGCTGACACTTAGAAAGTTAAGGCAATTTGAAAATGGTCCGAAACCAAAACATCAAAAGAAGCTTTTAATTTCCATGGTTGCCCTCTTTCCATCCGAGGTTTATTAAGGACTTTAGTGCAATTAGAACCCCCATCACCGATGGCATGAAAACGGGTGAGTTCCTTTGGACCCCATAATTCCAAAAGGACAACCTTAACAATAAGGCAAAATTGACAAAGGCCTGCTTTAAGACACCCTGACTTTTCTAGAGATTTTGGGGTAGCATGTGATTTATCAGGTGAGGAATAGTGTGTTTTGGTTCGAGATGGTCATCTTGTGGCCCTATTTACTAGACATTTTAAGTAGGACAATGGTTTTTCAATTATATAAACTAGTGAATTGAACTGACATTCAAATTTCCTCTTCCACATTATTTTCTCCCTGCAAAGCCAATGGTTTGACAAAGGTAATTTGAAGAAATCTTCCCCCAACCCTACCACAAACTATAGCTAGTCGAGATTCATGATACCAAATCCAACATTTGAAACTAAATGATCTGGGTTCTAGGTAATATGTTGCTTATTTTCCTTTTTGACCTCCTTAGAAACATGAGTAGCAGATGTGTGTTTGAATGAAAATTGAACTAAAGTTTTGAATGTGATAAAAATTATGTAAACCAAACAATTTATATATAGATCTGTTCAAGCATAACAAGTGGAAAAAAAAAAGTGCAAACCTTGTTATCTGGAACTTCCCTGAAAAGAAGCCTATTTTTAAGTTCTAACTTATAGGCAGGAGTGGATTATGTTGGGCATATATTATTTGAAGGCCACATCCATTAAATCATGTCACTATATTGACACATTATGTGGATAGCACTATCCCACTAAGAATAATCATCCCAATAAGTCACTAACAACCAGTTTTTCCCGTATATTGTGGGCATATGCTGACAGGAGGTAACTGTCATCTATCTCCTATTTATTTGATCTCTTTGATGGGAGAAAGATACGTCAAAAAAATATAGAGAGAAGAAAGGGTTTTAGTTTAATTCTTGAATAGACTCGACAGCTCAATTTCTAATTCCTATTTACATAGAAAGACCTTTGAATCTGAATGCTGTTGTTGGAGATACTATTTATGGCTTCCTCACTTTGTTTTTTATATTCTGAAAGCTGATAACAGAATATAATATATATTATCGAGGGAAATATATTCTACGGTTGAGTACCATCTATATAGGCAAGAATTTTGTATTGCACAAGGATGAGAAAAGTTGGTTGAGATCATATCATTATTCCCCAGCAAGTACATTTGGATAAGCTATTGAACGGAGCTAAGCTACTAAGTGATCTCAAGAAATAAAATAAACTTACCTGAGATTCCTTAAACCCCACCAGAGACAGTAGAAATATTTATCTACAAAATCTGCTGAAGTGACTTGATCCTTGAATGCATCAGCAAACATTCCGAAATCAAAATCAGTGGATTTTATTCGAGCATTACAATTTTTGTAGACTTTTGTAGAGTTTAACCAAGCAACAGTCCTTGCATCGGGGATATGTAGACAATCAAAATAACGAATATAACAAGGAGTACGGCCATGTTGCTCCTTCCTACATTGCTGCTTCCAGCATGAAAAATGCCTCTCCACGGACATCAAATACCATGCAGCTCCTAAAACCTACACCGACGATTTGAAAAGAATGATTACTATATTGAACTTACTAAATTCATATTCTATCTGACAGTTTTGTCATTTTCTTAACAAAAATAGTAGGAGGTTAAATAACCGCATGTAAAAATATGGACGAAAAGAGAGGATTAATATGTTGACAAATTTAGTTGGTTCTTACATGACTTGCTAACATATACAGAAGGAGATTATATGCTGCTCCTGACCAAGCAGTCTTCGCTACAACACCGGTGTTTTTTACAATTCGACTGTTCAACGGGAAAATAACAACAAGCCGGGGTACATACTGTAGGATGATGACCAAAGAAATGGCATGATTGGTATGAGCAGCCGATCGTGTGTGTGTTCGTACTAATGGCATTGCTATATAAACAACAAACTGCCAAATGAAACAGGAGAAAAAACACGTCAATAACCAGAATTCATATTAGTGACCATCATCTTAAAAACTGAAAGAAAAGAACACCTTCATACATGAAATAAAGAAACAAGGAAAACTAATCAACAAGTCATATTATGCATCATTAAACTTCTTATGGATCACGAGTAACTGACAAAAAGGACTACAAGTAAACTTCCGCTCAGCAGGATCTTGAAGTCAAAGAGGACTACAAGTAACTGTCACTGCAATATTTTCCCTTTGAAGATGGAAAATTGTGGATAAATAATATTGTGCAAAATATCTTTGGTTTATACATTCCTATGACGTCTTATTTTCTGAAATTGGAATTAATTGGATAGTCCAGTTTAATGAATCCCCATTTTTGAGTAAACCACATGATGTAATTTTTAGTTCTTTGGTTACCTCACTTGTATAGCCTACAGAAATTCATATTTAACAATGTGAATCAATTTTAGTAGAATTTGATAGGCCGCTTTTAATTGAAAATAACTGCAAGTCTACAAACTCAAGGATTTTCCTTGCTTTTAATTTCTCTCTCGAATCGAAAATGAGCTCATCAAATTCCTTATAAAATTAGTAAATTAACTTTTGTGGATAAAAAAATCCTAAACAGACAATCAGGTACGCAAAAATTGAGTTCGGGCTAAAAAGTGAACCAAAAACGAAACCTTACTTGAGGGAGGGGGAGAGCAGCAGCCAGATCAATAACGAAATCAGTTTTCAAATACCGAATCACTATCTTCCTCGGATCCCTCACAAGCTCACCCTTTCCAAAAACCCGGGAACTTGGAGCCACATACGCAGTACGGAACTTCATCAAAATCTGAAGTGCGGAGAACAGATCCACAATGGAGCGCACAAGAATAACAACAATGGCCAGAGCGAAGTCCGTGGACATGCAGCTTTCGGCCCTAATGTTAGGTAGGTAGAAGAACAGTGGATCCACAAAAAGAGCGATTAATGAGGTGACTAAAAAGATTTGATTCCATTTGGTAACGACTTCGCCATTGGGGTCGAGAATTTGGCACCACCATGGTTGATTGTTACCGTAGATGAGGGAGGAGGGTTTGGGGAGGGGGAGGTGATGGAGAAGCTTCGTGGATTCCCTGTGGAAATTGTTCATCATCGACATAGCTGTGGCCGATCATTGAGAGAGAATGGATGAGGAGAAACCCTCTGTGAGAGAAAGTAATAATGGAGAAGAAAGCGGGGAGCCATGAGAAGTTGAACAAAGCTACTGGCGCCAAAATCTAACTGTATTTGGAATTCCTTTTTATTTTTTTATCAATTATTCAATATTTATAAAATAAATATTTTTATCTATACATATCGTATGACCCAAGTTCAATAAGTGTGCATTTGATTGCAATGACGGAAAATTGGTGGAAAGAAAATGAATTTCAGGGAAAGTAATTGCCTAAAATTTGTTTTGTAGGGAATTGTTAATTAAGTGTATTTGATTGGTATAATTTTCCATCCGGAAAATTTTTAAATTTTGTGTTCGTTTAGCTTTGTTTTACATGAAAATTGTCCATTAAAGTGATTTTTTTCACAATTGGTTATAAAATTTGTTTTCATTGTCAGAAAGTAAAAAAAAAAATTTATTTCCTAAAAAATCATTTTTTTAATCAAAGTTTAGTGTTCATTTGGCTTTGTTTTACATGAAAATTGTCCATTAAAGTGAAAAAAAAATTACAATTGTTATGAAATTTGTTTCCATTGGAAAAAAAAAATATGTCCCAAAAATCATGGAAAAGAATGCGTGTGAGCCTTGGCCAAGAAAACTATTTCCCCTCCAAATTTTACTCATCAAACATGTCAATTGGTTGGAAAAGGAAATTAAATTCCGAGTTCCATGGAAAAAAAGCAAATCAAATAGGCCCTAAAATTTTCTTTAGATCGTGTTAAAAGGACAATGACGTTGTGATTGTTAAAGATTTAGCCTTTGTTTGGTTTGACTGAATCAGAAATTTTTAGAGTGTTTGGTGAGAATTAAAATTAGATTTTTAGTAGATTATGATAGAAGTTTTTGAAATGTGTGATTGCAAAGACGTGGGACCCATGAAAGATGTGGTTAATATTGATTGATTGTTTGACTTTGACTTAAATTAAAATCAGATTTTATTCCAGCCCAAACATGCCCTAATAAATTTTGATAAAGTTAATGACTTTATAATTGTAAAGTTGATAAAAGTTGGGATCCCATAAAATGGATAGTTAAAAATATATTTCTTTAAAAAAAAAGAGTATTAGAAAATTGGAGTTTAAGATACAAATAATTTATAAATTCAGTCAAAAGTCGAACATTAATTTCAACCGCACATTCATAACTACTGTTCATTATTATCCATATATTTCGTGAAAACTACTACTGTTCTTATTTATATATATTTATAAATTTAGCCAAAGGAAGATAAGTTACTTTGAGATTTACAAGATTTTACATTAATACATGCAAATCATTTCTCATCATTCAAACTTTGTTCGATGAAATAGTTAACGTGGTATCAGAATTAGGTAAAAAAAATTAGTTGAAGTCTCTTCATCCTCTTTCTATAAGAAATTATATATATCTCAGACAAATATGAATCATTCTATATGTGAAGGAACATATTGAAGATAAGATTTAAATGAATATTTGTTGTCATGTCGTAACATTTTAAACTTTTAAGGTAATTAACTTAGTATTAGAGCTTCACAAAAGAATACGTCCAAGTCTCGACGCCACCTAAACGTAAAAAACGTGTTGAAGATAAAATTTAAATAATGACTCATCGTAATTTAATTTTATCTTTCACTTGTTCTTGTTTATAATTAAGAAAAATGTACAAAGAATTGTTTAAGGTTGTATTTTTCTTTTTGGTTAAACAATAATTGGTCAATTTGACAAATGAAAGAGTTGGTGAAATTTGTCATTTGTCCAAAATGCCGTCCTCAATGATTCAATTAATCCAGGAATTTGTAAATAATATTTAAAGTTTATTTATTTAACCATCTCTTTACCTACTTTAATACCATATTGTACAACGTTTAAGTTGTTACGGTTAAACTAACCCCACATCGAGGCTGGATGCACTTTCATTAAGGGGTATATAGATTAATCAATTTTGATAAATAAGTGACGGCAAACATCAAATCGTCACAAACGTGTTTATTTGTTTAAACTAGTCTTAGATCATAGGCAATAAATTTATTTATTTAAATTATGTCTTCAACAAGTGCGTACCGGGAATGAACGTATAATTAGTACATTTGAGAGGAACTAAAAAAATTGCAAAGAAAAGAATATCCACTGATTTATAATCAGATGAGTTTGCTCTGAGAAATTTCATGAAATTTATGTCTGATCAAATTTAAATCAGGCCTCAGAACTGAGAGATTTCTCTTCATATTCCTTAATAGAGTTTATGATTGCAGATACTTCCCTCATGCTTGGCCTTTCTTCTGGTGATGAATTTATGCACTTTAGAGCTATTTGCAAAAGATCCACCATCCTCTCCTCACTTGCACCCTCCGAAACCAATGTCTTGTCAAAAACTTCGACCGTCCATTCTTCTCTTATAGCCGTATTCACCCACTGGCCTAAGTCGAACCCATTGTTCTGGACGAGCTTCCCGGTCAGCAGCTCAAGAAGTATGACGCCGAATCCATAAACATCAGCCTTGAACGCATTGTTTACTGGGGACGCTTTATCTAGGATTATGTCATTAGGAGGAAGAAATGATTGATCTTGATTGTTAACCTCTGCTAGACCATACTCACTTATGCAGGGTTCCATTCCATTGTTCAGCAAAATGTTTGAGGATTTTAGGTTGCCATGTGCAATGCCATCTCTTTTAAGCCCCTCATGCATGAAAGCCAATGCCTCACCAATTCTGGCTGCAACACTTAATCTGCTTCCCCAGTCAAATAATTGCCCATTTTGTGATCCTGAAAATTAGCATCAATGTATTATAAAATTACGATCTTTTACGGATTAAGCCCAAGGTTATAGTGATTCAAGCTCAAGATAAGAGTTACATCCACACATTTGTAGATGGTTTTCCCTATAATATGGAAAAGGAATACAAGTTTTCTCACGTCTCTCACACACACAACCGGCTGCCTAAAATATGAACATTGAAAAACCTAATAAATGTATGGAATATCTAGAATTTGAGGTCGAGGGGATAAGTGTGCAATATGATTAACTCTACTGAGTCCAACATTTGCTCAGTCCTTTAAGCCCCCATGCAGCATTGGGTAAATATTTATGCTAATATTTCCAGTGAATTCAATGCTATATCTGCATAATAGAATCCAAAAATGAATATTTCTTTGAATAAAAATGATAAAAAGAAATAACTTACCATGAATAAGCCTGAAGAGACTGCCATTCTCCTGGAATTGATAAACCAATAGTTGTTCTTGCCTTGAACAGTAATAGGCAACAACAGGCATTACATGTGGATGCTTCACTTGGTCTATTCTATGCACCCTCTTCTTGAAATCGTCTCTAGAAATATCCCAATCCCGGATTCTTTTCACCGCGAGAGTCACTCCGCTGTTGAGTGTGACCTTGTATAGGCTTCCATGCCGACCTCTTCCGATCAATTCAGCTGAAGATCGAAGCAAATCCTCGAATTTCAGCCCATTGACCACTGGGCTCGAGAGAACTACAAGCGATGATGAAGTCATCCCACTCTCAACAGATGTTATTGAATACTCGGATATGTTTCCTCCTCTTTTCGACTCACTAGAAGTGCTGCTACTAATCTTGTCTTTCTTTGCATCTGTTTGCGAGCCCTTTTTTGCAATCTCCTTCTTTTTATTCTTGCTTTTCCATATCACTTTGACGGCAATGAGACTCACAAGAATTAGGCCGATAAGAGCATATCCAAGATACATAAGATACATCTTGCTCGACGGACCTTTCTTTTCAGTCGGAGGAGGAGGGGGAGAGCAAGCACTAGGCAATGGCTCTCCACATAATCCAGGATTGCCTAAAAAGCTACTTGCATTGAAATGACCCTCCACATCAGGAATACTCCCACTGAGATTGTTGTTAGAGACATTGAACTCTTCAAGATTCGAGAACTCAAACTTCGGTATAACTCCATCCAACTGATTGTTTTGAGCAAGAAAAGTGAGCAATCCCGAGACCCTTGAAATATCCGGTATCCCACCTGTGAAGCCATTGTCTGATATTACAAGTCTCTTCAAATTACTTAATCTTGACAGGGATCCAGGGAGATCCCCGGAGAAACTATTTCCATGTAGATACAAATGTGTCAAACGCGTGCAATTTGATACCTCGTCTGGTAAAATCCCAGAAACATTATTGTTGTTCAGGCTCAGTACTGCCAGATTCTTCGCCGAACACACAGAAACAGCATCAAGAACACCAGTGAAATCCAGCTGATCAAGTACAATTTTTTTAACAAATTGCATACTTTTATCGCAAGAAATCCCTTTCCAGGCATCAATGCAAGGATCAGAACTCATATTCCAACCCCAGTTTTCTTCTCCTGGATTATTTCCAGGATCAAGTTTTTGCAGGAACTGGACTAATGCTTCTCTCACTTGTACTGTTTCTGCACTTGTCACAGATAAGAGAACGATAAACGCCATAAAAACTACCCAGAGATGAATTCGATCCATCATGTTAATGATCTGAATTCCAAGAAAGTGGTTACTTAAAAAGCTCGAAAATGCCGTCTAATTATTGCCAGTTGGCTGAAAGTTCACTTGTCATTGATGGATAATGAGAAAGGATTACGAGTGCTAACAAAACTCAAAAGACTAACAGAAAAGACACTGATAAATAAAAATTAATTTGTTTGAAGCCGGCAGTTGGATTCTGCTCAAACAACAGTGTAGTGAAGGTGTGAATAGTATTATACAAATAAAGGTTTAACAAGAATTGGTCAATAATCGAGTTTTTCTCAAAGCATTCCATATGGATCAATTTGATTAAAAGTATGTTTAAACTCGTTGAATTTATTTGAGAATTTTCAAAGGCTCTTCCATTGTTGATAGATAATAGTTGGTTAACGCACCAATTCTTTTTTGATTTGATCAAAAGCTTGACAAGTACACAATTTCCGTTTTTAAACGGGAAAAATATATTTATTTACATTTTGTCTTCACGCAAGTTAAATTTTAACCAGAATCCCTCAATTTCTACACGCCCCGTTTGGCAACCAAAATGCTACTAGGCGCATGGCATGGTGGATTAAGGATATAGGTTATAAGGTAAATGATATTCCATAATTTTTTATTTAAAAGGTTGTCATTGCACTACCATCGAGAGAAAAAATGAATTTATACTAGATTCTATAAGATAGTCAAAATAACGTGCTCATGATTTTTTGAATGAAAAATGAGGGAATGCCATGCCATCCACCTAATCCATCAAAATACTATCTACTTAGTATGATTTATTTACTCCATGTTTGGCACCAATTAAAATCTAAATTTTAATTTAAATCAAAGTCAACTATTCATTTTAACCATATTTTATAAGTCCCACAACTTTTCAATCATACATTTCATCAACTTTTATCAAAATCTACTAAAATTTTGATTTTAATCTCCACCAAACAGTGGCTTAATTTTATACTAGATTCTATATACGATCCAATCCAACATGCCAAATGTACTCATAATGTACCTAAAGTATCAAAAAAATATCGGATCCCATATTAGATATCTATAAGCACAATAGCAACTTAACAATGTTTCATAGTATGCGTGTCGATTTCTCTCCAGGTGTGCACGTGCACAACAAACACTAGGTTAAAACTCACTTTAATATTTAACCGTAAAGAAAGAGTGCCCAATGTGCCTATAAATCTACCAGGCACGCCTTGGTAGACATGAGAGTTACATATATGCCATTAATGCATTTTTACTTCAATAATATCTCGTCTACACAAAAGGTGAATGCATAACAAAAAGCCATTCTTTACACCAGACATTACAGCTGCTGCTGCACTGAAGGGTGCCATCTTTCTCAGTGTGACACAGAGTCGGAAGGAAATAGGAGAGTCCTCAATTAAGTCCCCAATTTACAGGGGGGATACCAAAATAAAATCCAGAATTTCATTACCTTCCTGTCAATGCCTGTTCAAAGTTCTTAAAATACATAATATTTTCCACCTCAAGTTTTTTCTTTGCAACAGACAGGCCAGAATCCCCACAAAAGCAAAGAAAAATCCCACCAAGAAAGGCGAAAAAGAACGCGAAGAAATGAGTTATCGATCCAACTCCTCTTAGCCTCTGCTTCTTCTCCCCTAACAATGATTACAAGCGTACACACACTCTTAACTTCTTAAAGCCTGTTAAGTAACTAAATTATAGCCGAGAAACCAACCTCCTTCGTTCTATATGGCCAATTTGCTTCATGGCCTAGTAGTTACAATAATGGCCTCATAAGAAGAGCAAATAAGGATATTATGAAAAAATATCTAAATATGGAAAGAAAATCTCCGATCAAGTAGCTAAGAAATGCATCCATGATGATCGGATATCAGGTCTTGAGATCATCTGACATGGCAGACGGTATACAGTGGGTGGCAAGGATGTCCAAAGTTGCCGCTTTCGCAGTCTTTGTTTTAAGGACAACGATCTGCAAAACAATAATAATAAAAAAAATAGTTAAAAACATACAATTGGCAAGAACAAATAAACAAGTATGCACCAAAAAAGAACGCCCACCTGCTGGTATTCTAAATCGAATTTCAAATATTCATCGTTGCAGCTCTCTACCATGCTGGCCAAGCTCTTCAGATTCTTCACTGGATGACCATTGAAAGCATGAACCTAAATAAGCCCAAACAACAGAAGAAGAGATACAAACAGGTTAGTAGAAGAAGAGAGCATAATATGGAGATAATTAAATTTGAAATTCAGTTAGTGATACCACAAGCACTTGCATAAAATCACCAACCTGAGTGTTGACAAGTTCCTCATATCCTATATTTATGTCAGCCACGAGTACCTTTGAAAATTTTCAAAATGAAAACAAAGAGCAAGGCAAAATGGCAGAAGTTTTATCCAATGAAATATTTGCTAGAGAAATGAAGGCGAGGAAGAACCTGGGAAACTACAACAATCTGTTCCTCTGGAGATTGTGGCAATTCATGCATGAGTTTGTCTAACAGCTTGACAGGAGCTTCAAACTCGTAATCTTTTCCATACTGGAATTTTTGTACATCGAAATGATGGCATAAGAACAAAAATATGAATCAAGGTAAATAGTGCGAATTTTTAGTAACATCTCACCTTTCATGTCTATTAAAAGAAAATTGCAACCCATGTATAACTGAAGTATCGAAACCCTCATAAGGTAATAATGAAAATACTATTGGATACAGAAAGCTAAAGAAACTTGTAAAATGCATGAACATAAGGAAAATTCTGAAGTCGTACTAAAAACACCAAATCATAGCATCCAAGCATGTTCGCATGATTTCTGCAATTAGTATCATAAGAAAGTGGGTTCGGGAGCAAAAGATATATAGCCTAAAAGCTGAGGATGGAAGCTGTCTATCTAGAAATTGGCAAGCATCGCCACCCAGTAATAGGGACCAGAAGTCAAAGCAAACAACTCCTAGAACAAAAGGAAAATGCAATATATGATTAGTGGAAGAGTTTAGCATATCAAAATGCAAAAACTTTTTGGAAATATGCATCCAAAGTCCCCAGTCTCAACAAAAATGTGCAATTTAGCCAACTCAATATTTCTCAGCAAAAAGATCCCCAGCCTTCAATTTTGTGGCAAGTGGTCCCAGTGATATAGAACAAAAAACAAGTTCCTACTCCCCACCATACTCTCACTGATCCTCCTCCCCTCCCCTCCCCTCCCCTGCATTCCATTTATAGACCTGAGATACGGAATCTGTAGGTAGCACGCCTGATCAACATGTGACTAGTTCACCATTTGATAAGCAGAGTGAATTAGCAAATGATAGCTCACGAAAGTCACATAGAATGAAATGTTCTGAGCATGTGAAATTTCTCATACTTTTGAGTCTTCAGTGAGCATTATGTAATCAATACCTACCAACACAGCAAAGATGTCATATCTGTAATCAAAAAGAATTTAGCATTCACTCTTCACACTCTTTCCATCTGTTCCCTCTCAGAACTAATTATGTAGTCCATATACATTTTCTTAAATTCGACATAAATGGAAACATAAAAACCCATTGTGTGCTTAAAATATGAACATATTTTCTTATTATGGATTGAAGTCTGTCTTTAAAGTAAAAGAAAGAACAGATGAATTTGTTGTGTTCAACACATACATATATACACATAATACATGTTTTTGTCCTTGTGTATGCAATTTCCAGTTTTAACTAGATCATGTAATATTATTTTAAGTCCTATTCTTTTGACGGTCTGGATTTTTTGTGACACCACTATGTAGCGACGGATCCTTCAGAAATTAAAGTCTATAACCCTAGCTCCCACCCCATGTTCTGGTACCCTAGGGGCTTGGGCCATCGTGTAAGCTTTTGATCTCTATTTTTCATACTTGTTGAAATGAAAGTCACATTGTTAATTGGAGCATACATCGTACCAACCTGAGAGCAGGGAAGCATGCAGACTGGTATTATTAGTCCTTAGATCGAAATTACTTGGAATGCCTTAACCCTACCAAATATGATTGTTCAAAAAAATATGGTATACTAGTATCAGAAGGCTAAAATTAGCAATTCTTTGTTTTTTTATTTTCAATCCTCTTCTGGCTTCCCTAACTCTAATATACATGAGGAAAGAGAGTTGAAATTAAAAGGTAAATGATACAAATAAAAACCTTCGGCTTCTACACAAACATTCATCACCGCTTTTTTTCTTAATCAGTAATTTCAATTAGCAAAAATAGTCATTAAATAGCATATCACGTCATCATTTGAAGTTGCTAAAATAAATCATCAATGCAATTCAAAGAAGTTGATCCACAGCATATCAAATTGTGATTTGTGTGCTATGTGATGAATTGTGTTACTGAACCCTTCCCAGTTTCCACTAACCTAAGAGACTGATGGATTAGGTAATATCACCTCACATGAGTGATTTGGAGGGAGCAGAGCATTAACAATTTAAAAGGTCAAATTTGCCTTATGTAGAGATACCTTTATGTAAACCTGGTTATATAAATATTTTATTGACTTTTTTAAGATTTAAGATCTGGTACAGATGCTCTCTAAACGCAATTCTGTTTGCGATACAGTATATAAGAGGTTTCCAGCTGTTCAGTTCATTATTGAAACACATAAATCCAACAGAACGGGTTTCATATTCTAAGCACCACCAATAGAACCACCAATCAAGCACCTTTAATTGCTACAAACTTTAGTAAGAAGCTAAAAAGGTCAAACTCACACTACTTACAGCAATTACCGAGAATACCAGAATGCATTAACATCTGAAGCAAACTGCTCACCTCAGAACGGAGATATGGAACGGAAACACTTGTAAAAACAAACCCAGCAACGATATAATACGAGGGAGGTCTACCCTTGTTGTGAGCTGGAATGAGCCTCCGATGAGAACCAAGTTCGATATTGAATTTCAGAGTTTCAGAATTGCGAAGAACTCTTATTGCTGCGCTATCTCCAGTATATTTCTGTGATACAAGATAGCTAAAACCTATGCGCTCTCCGTGCCTAAATGGAACTGTAAAAAATGACCAAATAAAGTTGCAGTGTTACTACAATAGAAGACGGTTTCTAAACATAAGATGAGTAATCTCTATATATAGCATGGCAGAGACATTAGAGCAGCATTTGCAGTAGTAAATCCCAAGGCAAGCATTCTGCTGATACATAAGTGAGAAAAACATACCTCCACATGCCAAATTCATGTTGACATATTTCAGAAAAGAAACAATAGCATATCTACATTGGAGTACCTAATGTATTCATACATTAATGATGCTTAACTAAAGGATTTACAAGTCTTAATTTAATAAAAAAAATATTCAGGTTTGTCATATCTAGACTATTATGATAATCAAACCCCAGAGAAGTCTCAAAACCTTAAAAATGATATCAAGAGAACAATAGCACTCAGTTATTCCCTGTCTCTGTTGATATACTTAAATCTCACATGGTAAAAATTCCTCTATTATTTTTCCATCGTGATTGTGAGGCTTTTCTTCTTGACAAATAATCAATGAAATTAAGCATTGTGTTATTTGCAGCAACTAAAATTACCTATTCATGAGATGTAAGGAAAAAAAAGCTCGAGTTACATGTTAAAATAGCAGAAAATATTTACACTTATGCACATAAAAGAAGCGGGAGGAAATGAGATGAGATGGGAGAATTATTTTTATTCGTCTACATGCCATCAGAACATTTGTCTCAATCACCTGTTCCGTCATTGGCAATATCAACCCCATCAAAGCTAAGGATGACATCAGATGGCTTCAAAATTTTGAATTCTGGAGCAGTTGGATCGATTCTTCTTATACGAACACCCTTCTGATCTGGTTTCATCCCAATCGACAATCGCAAGTCTGGATTTTCCATCTTCTGCCATTCAACTCCTAGAATAGGGAATCCTGGTACATGAAAGAGAAATATTGCGATTAAATAACATAGGACTCAATGGAAACTTATTAACTGGGGAAAGACTCGTCAAAAAAGGCCAAATTGAAACTGACATTGGGATAAACAATGTCATTTTCTTGTAGTAAAGACGAGAAACCTAAGTCATAAATAGTAAATACACAAATCCATCCGAGTATAGGAAGCATTGATACTTAGCAGAACTTGAGCAATGGTAGACTGTCCACATCAAATTACTTTAACTATTAATCCGATATAAATCATGTTAAGAGTAACCTTTCCTTTTGTTAGGAAGATGTTTCTATGGTTATGTCCATGTTTAGTACAATTAGTGTATCCTTAAATGTGGGCACAAGGATTAAAATATGATTTTGTTCTATATAAGCTATTGAAGATGATCGCTCATTAGTGTGGAAAATGGCAGAATAAGTACATTTAAAAACTCTGTATTAAAAATAGCATAGGATAGCTCTCCCTCCCTCCTTACCGATTAACAAAAACTCCTGAAATAATACTGGACTAGGCTGGCTAAAACCTGTGTTTTAGTCAGTACGGAATCTAGTAGATCTAGACTTAAATTAACTTAGCTGACTCATTTGTCATAGGAATGAACTCATTAATATTTCCACAAAAAATAGTGTGCTAGCTCAGAATCTACATTAAACGGTGCAAAAAAGGGTACATGTTGATCAATTTGCGGCTAATGGAGCCAAATCGCCTGTACACAGTTTCCATTAGAGTACATAGGTATTGAGTACAAAGGTCTCTTTTGAAAGAAACGTGTTTGGTGTAGTGCACAATCAGTAAATTAGAAGAGCTCCACAGATGTGATAGCATTCAATTACGTCAATCAAAGGAAAGTTGCACAAGTATTGATTAGAAAGCAAAGAGACTATAGTGGCTATTTGATTAGATATTCTGCTAGGTATGTATGCATTAGATATCATGAATGAAAAGTCAAAATGGTATCTATACGATGACTTCTAGGATTTTCTCTCTCTGAATTCATTGGATTCTGCTATTGACCCCTAACGTCCTTTAACTTATTTTCATATCAGTATATAAAGCCCCCGCAGCGGAGATAAGGTTGCAGCCCAAAAACAATACCAGTATATGCTCCATTTTTTTCATAATCTTGGATGAAGTGCCTGATGACTGGTGTTGGGATGACATAACCGATATTCTCTGCATCCTCGTGTTTGAGGGATTGAAATGCAATACCGACACAATTTCCCTTGTCATTAAAAGCAGGTCCTCCCGAATTTCCAGAGTTTATAGCGGCATCTATCTGCAAAATAATCAATTTTCCCAAGATATTAGTAAAATATTTTGCAAGCTACAAATCAACATCGTCAAAGTATAAATCAAAGACCTGTAATCCCAGAAGTTCAGTGGACCCATGGACATATGAAAGAATCTCTATGCGTGAAACTACCCCACTTGTCACAGAGATTGTATCACCCCCAATTGGGTAACCCACAACAGTCACTGCATCTTGCAATGCAGGTAAATCACCAAATTCTAGAGGAGACACCCCTTCCCAGAACTCATCATCATCTACTGCAAGCATAGCTGCAGTATCATATAAACAAAAATCAACATTTTAAATTAAACAATATATAAATACTCATCACCTATCATTCTATTATAACAGAAGCTGTAATATTATATGAACCAAGTTGAAATTGGATAATAAATACTCTAAAGGTTTTCTTAGCAAATGCACTATATAATTAGTGGTTATTTTTTTGGCTAGCTGCCCTCTATAACAAATGCAGGGGGCAATTTGGTCCAACGATCACCACCAAGATATATGAAGTCATATACCACCACTAACAGCAATATTTTACTTCAAGTTCTGTATCAACAATCATTCCGTGCTTTTTATTCTGATCCCTTCTCTCACAGGTACCATCAGACTGCCACCACTTTCTTTCTTCGTGTTTTTCTCAGTATCTCATTATAGTAAAAAGAAGTGATGTAAAGGTTCTAACTTTCTACCAGGGGGAATCAAACCAAGCTAAAATCAGCAACCTGATCTACCATCCGTAATCAACTAGTATGAGAAATGTTACCGGCAAGTTAAGAGACTAACTCGCCATTATATGGACACTACAATATAATTCCAGATATTGACTTCCCATAATCTCCAAAGATTGTTCAATGACTGATATTAAAATTTAAAATTCAATTTGACCAGATATTAAAATCAATTTCCAGAAATTGCAAAGTCATCGAAAAGGAAACACGTCTTAATAGAAATTTTAAAAACATTGATAACCCAGAGGACAGCATTTTTTTCAATTAATTTGGATGGAAAAACTGGTTGCTTCCTTCCACTCTTGATTAGCCATGAATGAAAAAAACTATCAAAACTCGAAACATCTCTAGCCACAGCATTGACATCCATAGCCGTAATTCAATTGATAGAATCACATGCAATCGTTTCATTTTAGTAAAATAATATCAAGGACAATATTCAATGTTAATCTCACCGATATCACATTCAGTGCCGATGGCGAGCACCGTGGCAACATACTTTGTATCAGAACCTCTTTTCTTCAACTTGACTTGAGTGTAATGCTCCACGGAGTGAGCATTCGTCAAAACCCTCCGACCATTAATAACAAACCCGCTACTGCTCGAGCTGTACTGCCTTTTCCTCTGCCACGGCAAAGAAAAATTTGGCTCCGTATGAACGCAGAACACCTTCACCACCGCGTCCATCGATGGGACCACCCTCGCCACCGCGTTCTCTGCAGTGATCAGCGCAGTGGCAGCACATCCATTGGCGATTGGAGGAGCCGGGACGGGTAAGGTTTTCGAGCTGTCGATTTTGGGAGTCTTGCGGGGGCGGCCGCGGCGGCGATGGGGTGTAGAGGACAGAGGGTGAGTGGGGTCAATAAGCTCAACGTTATTGACGGAAAAGATAACGTCATTGGCTACTGGGGTGGGGGAGGAGGTGGTGTCGCTTGCGACAGTGGTCACCGGCGATCGGTTTTTGGGCCGGCGGCCGCGCTTCCGCTTATTCTTTGTTACGCTGCACATACTAGAATTGGAATTGAGAAATGTGGATTTTGGTCCCAATTTGAAGAGAAAACTAGACTTTAATAGAGGGAAAGGTGCGTGGGGGTTTTGAGGTTGTCCCATGTACGACATCGTATATGTTTAAGCATAAGAGCATGTTTGGTACATATTCTGACGGGTAAGGTTTTCGAGCTGTCGATTTTGGGAGTCTTGCGGGGGCGGCCGCGGCGGCGATGGGGTGGCGAGGACAGAGTGTGAGTGGGGTCAATAAGCTCAACGTTATTGACGGAAAAGATAACGTCATTGGCTACTGGGGTGGGGGAGGAGGTGGTGTCGCTTGCGACAGTGGTCACCGGTGATCGGTTTTTGGGCCGGCGGCCGCGCTTCCGCTTATTCTTTGTTACGCTGCACATACTAGAATTGGAATTGAGAAATGTGGATTTTGGTCCCAATTTGAAGAGAAAAATAGACTTTAATAGAGGGAAAGGTGCGTGGGGGTTTTGAGGTTGTCCCATGTACGACATCGTATATGTTTGAGCATAAATAGCATGAGTTGTGCTATTTGTAAAAAGTTGGGCTACAAAATTGATTTAAAAAATACGTATTGACAGCATTTTAACCAATTATTTAAAAAATAATTTTTAAAATCAATGACCAAGATGTTGCCACATTATTTTGTTAACACACTTTTGTAGACGATCTTTGTACAAATACCATAATTGAAATAGGACATTGTTTTAAAGACTATGTTATGTATATATAAACGTTGAAGTAGCATAATAATGCTACGTAGCTTTGTTGGGTTGCAACCCTGTGTTAGATGATATGCTAACTAAAGTATGAAATTCATTTAATTTCACTTATTATTTAATATTATATTAACATAACTTAGATTGTAATTGAAATTCGATGAGGTTAAATAGCATTACTCTGGAGGTGGACACGTTAAGCATTCATGTGAGTTTACAAATTTTGGTATTGACAACATCATTTCTAATCAACCGTCAAATTTTTGACACATATGTTAGTCTTGTTTTAATGAGTAGTCAAAGATAAACATACATTACACGTTATTCTGAAATAATTTATAAGTGTTGTAAAAATAATATTTGATGTCAATTTGTTGAGAGGATTTGATGAATCTCAAATGAACTAAATAAAATAAAATTTATGATAGAAATTTAAGAGAAGAAAATTGTATTTTCAAAACTCAATGAATCTTGATCTACACTAATCTAAGAATTTTAATTGGTGTATAAATTTATTTCTATTCTTGTATCTAAGAATCTTAATGGGTGTTTAAATTTATGTATTAGCAAATAATTCTTATGTATTAAATGTAAAATAAAAATATTGCTCATTTGTAGTATTTCTTCATCACGGAAAAATTGAACCATAGAAGTTGAGTTTTGAGAACACAATTTGCTTCTCTTAAATTTTTATTCTAAATTTTATTTTCTTTAGTTCGTTTAAAACTCACCAAATCCCCCTAACAAATTAATATCACGTATTACTTTTAAAGCACTTATAAATTATTTCTGAATATTGCACGTTTAACTTTGACTAGTAAATAGAAATTAATTCATTTATAATAACTTTAAATTCACGTATATCAAAATTTATTAAATCAAGATTCATTGAGTCTAAATTAATGTAAATGTTAATTAATTGAGAATTAATAACACGAAATTCAGACGTAATAAAGAGAAGTATAGAAATAAGTAAACGTTACCAAACAGGGGCATATTTGCTCAGAGGAGAAGTATGTTACCAAAAGTAAACGTCGAGATATTTTTTAAAATGGATCGAAGGTCTCTATAATTGTCATGTATTTGAGATAAAGTATGTCTAATTTGTTGTTGCATTTATTCTCGACATGTTCCTAAAGATTCGAACTGTTCATAAATTATATAAAAATAATATTTTGTCAATTTGTGAGATATTTGTTGATCTCAATTTGTGCACGGGCGACATGGTCAACATATCTCAACTTCGCTCGCTTACATGCATATATTTCATTTATTTGGGTATGGAACATACGAAAGATGAGAGCCACAATTATGTTCAGATATTGGGGATAATAACAGAGAATGGAAGAGAGAGAGAGAGAGAGAGAGAGAGCAATATCACTATGATTGTTTAAAATTGCATTACTTTCAAATGACATGAAGTGTGAACTTTTATAGTAGAAGATATGGAAGAGGTGAAAATGATTATCGTTGGATGAGAGACTCGTGACCTCTTCTTCACGATCGAGGTGAATCGTCACGGACATCATTTCATTAGTCCTGAGCTTAAGAACATTGAATGATTCTGAAAATTAGTCAACCTACGATCTAGGCTTGACATGAAAAATATACAAACAAGATATACTAGTTTTTGCTTGTGCGATGCGCAGGTTGGGTGATTTTGGAGGTAGTGTTAGTGTGTTAAATATGTTAATTATTGTGAATTATATCTTGAATGTTAGATATGAGCAATTTAAATTATCCCAATAAATATAATTGTTCAACTGACTGCATACAACTACAAAAAATTGAATGACAAGGCAATAGAATAATACAAAATATAGGAAAATAAATATTAGAAGGATAAACAAAGTTAAACATACAATATTCAAGACATTTTATTTGTTAAAATGCATGGGGAGCATCCTGAAGTCATTAACATTCACTGATTTGCAATTTTAAATACAGTCTAAATCAAAAACAAAATTCAAGATGATCATGCAAAATACATTGCCCTAGTCTAAATTTTAATTTAATTAATCTTAGTAATAAAAGTTTTGGACCCCCAGTGCAGTAGGAACTTGTACATTTGCCTTTTGAGCTAAACAAATGAACTCTTAACAGTCCTTCACGCCAATTTGAGAAAATGTATTTACTAATGTAGTGATGAACCGTGCCTAATTGGCCTTTAAATCCTGTGAGCAGCTCTTATTACCTTCGTCAACATCTTGAACACCCCATTTGACAACGCAACCCATTTGAGCGCCTTCTATATAGGCTTTACATGCTATCAGAATATCACGAGAACGTTTGCAAAAATTCCCTACGACAAAGTCCTCAAAGTGCTACGAGCAACATAATACAAAACTTAAATCAATATATAATGAAGTCATCACCCAAAAGGAAAGAATAAATCGAAATTAACCATCAAAATATGTAAAGATCGAAAGGCCTAATAATAACAGTATTACATAGAGAAGATCTCAATTTTATCTTACCTTCGGTGGCTGCCTCACATTGTACACCATTGTTTGGAGAGAATGGATAAAAGTATTCTCATTATATGCCAAAGAACACTTTTCTCCACTTGCTGAACCACTCATATTTGCATGTTTGGGCTCATTAAAATAGAGCTTCGCATTAAAAATTAGGCCTTGTATAGAGACCAAAACTTGTAGCATAGTTGACATACTAGGGATCCATTTCTCCTTTTGACTACCACTCCAAGTATTGAGAAGGCTCAAGCATACTTTGCCACAATTGTACAAGTTTGGATTGTTGCCATAAATCCAAGTAAGTGTGAAAAATATACATAAGTGTCATAAAGCCTGAAATATTCCAAAGGTAAATTAGTTATAGAAATAAGAAATAACAGAAATCAGTAATATAATTATGACAATGAGCGACTAAGATATGTGACAAATACTTACAAAGAAGTTATACTTCTACAAATGAAAGAATTTCTCTGTAGACAATATTCTTTGTACATGTAAATTCTCAGTGCTTGATGATTTTAGTAAAACCTTTAAAGACTTGCTCGTTTTGGCTTTTGACAATGCTACGTAAAGCTGATCATGACAGAAAACTGGTTCAGGAAGATACAAAGTGTCTAACCTTGTACTTTATTTATCGTCATTGCAAAACATGGTCTAACTGGGAATTGAGTTCTTTTAAAATGAATTGAAGTTTGATCATTTTTCAAAGGCACAAAAGGAATTTTTGGTAAGAAAGCATGTTTCCCACAATATTCATCAGTTGTAATTTCAGCAAGAATTACATTCTTATCTAATTTTCTACAAGTAAGAAGTGTTCCATTGCATAACCCTTCAGAAAGATTGATGTTCCGCAATAACATTACAAGACAGTTTATCTTAACTTTCAATTCGTGCGATGGAATACCATTTGGAGTCAAAGTATTCAAGAAATCTTCATATGTGCTCTGTTTTGATTTGTCAATTGTTTCATCAAAGCTATAGTGTGTGGAAATTTCATCAGAAATCTGATCAAGTAAAATTCTATTAATATGATCAACACATTCATTTCTTGGCTTAAAAATTACTCGATTTCTCATCGTATGTAAATTATCAACATATGATTATATATTTGGAAAAACATAGTTTATCAAAATTTTCAGAAATGTAATTTTATCATCAAATGGTACAATGATATTACTTGGAAGCTGAATGAGGTTACAACTGTGTTCTTCCTATGTTCCATTTCCAACTCTAAGCAAAGAATCACAAAATGTGAGATCCAATTTTGCTCGCATGTTCTCAACCAACGGTATATGTGAATACAAATGTCATAAGTCAGAGAAGACTAACCTAGCTTTCATTATGTCTTTTTTTCCTTCTAGGTATCACTGGTAAAACTTGTCTAAAATCTCCTCCTAAAACGACTACTTTTCCACCGAAAGGCAAATTACAATTAGTAATATTTTTGAGTAATTTATCAACGGCTTCAACGGCACAACGATTTACCATATGTGCTTCATCCCAAAGTATTAATGTAGACATTTTTAACAAAGTCCCTAAAGCTGATTGTTTACTAACGGAACAGATAACTTCACCAACTGTTTCCAGAGAAATTTTAAATCTTGAATTGGCTGTTCGACCTCCAGGCAAAAGAGATACAGATACTCCAGAAGATGTTGTAGCTAAAGCAATTAAATTTTGAGATCTTACACCTGTTATGAGAGTTTTATACAAAAAGTTTTGCATGTTCCTTCTAGACCATCGATGAAATAGATCCCACACTTGACAATGGATTTATTAAGTACTATAAATTCAGGTT